CACACAATCGCATTTTGGGTTTCAGCATTTGGGAAAGGTACATTTCTTCACAATCTTTTCTTCACAGTAATTTTAAGTTTAGATTGACTTTTAGATGTGTCACTGCACACTTTTATCTGATGTCCTTGTCCGTTATGATGTGTTCCTGCCCTCAACACCAAAATGAGCTGTTATCAAACCTTTTTTGATTTTGTTTTGAAAGATTTTGCGAAATTTTGCTCATGTGCAAAAAAAAGGTTCACTTGCTGAGTTTCTCTTGAGAAGTTTTAGTTCCAAAATGCAGTGTTATAAAGAGAGCAAAAACATAAAACAAAATAACAAAAAACAAGTTAAACTGTGAATTGAACTGAACAGTTTAAGGATTTTAAAATAACGTCAAAATTTTGTCGTTTCATTCTTGTATACTTGAATTACTACTTCCATTACCTCTATGCTACACTTTACCAGGTCCTAAACAAAAGTACTCAATAATATGATAATGTAAAATTCCTAAATTACTAAAAATGATTGATTAAACTTCCTTATCATGTCATAATATAAAAACATAAACAAAAACTCTGCTGACAAAGCTAAAATGGGAATGTTCTAAAAAATAGTTCTTATATTTCTGGCCTAGTTTTGTCATAAAGCCTTAGCAACAGAAGTGAAGTTATTCCATTAACTTCACCTGAACTTCCTCTCATCAAATTGAAGAGCAGTAAGTCATTTTCTAAAGTAAAATAGACTCAATAAATACCAGCTCATCTCTTTGACCATCAGTGACCTTCGAGAGCAACTACGAGCATTGTTATAGTTCAAATGAAAGCCGCACTCTGGACATTTTCTGGTTGGGTATCCTGCACCTTCTCGTCTCCATGGAGATGTCAATGCCTTGGCTGGGATGTTCCGCATTATGGCAATGAACTGACCAGCAATCTTTTATTCATTTAAAGCTATAAAGTGGAACATTACAGGCAACAATAACATCTTCTAGCAGGTAGCAGATCCACAAAATGTAGTTTAAAGTGAGCCTTAATTAATTAAATAATTAGTTAAAAGTATGGTTTTAGCACTCTGAAAACAATCAATCTTGGATAAGAAAAAAAAAACTGTTAAAGGTCCTATATCATTCATCCATCCATTTTCTCACTAACCCAGGCCAGGTCGAGGGGGGATTCCCAGACTTCCTTCACCCTGGACACTTCCTCCAGCTCCTCTGGCTTTTCATGGCCAGCAGCGAGACATAGTCCCTCCAGAGTGTCCTGGGTCTTCCCCGGGGCCTCCTCCTGGTGGGACATGCCCAAAACACCTCCTCAGGGACACGCTCAAGAGGCATCCGGAACAGATGCCCAAGCCACCTCAACTGGCTCCTCCCAACATGGAGGAGCAGCGGCTCTATTCCAAGCTCTTCCCGTATGACTGAGCTCCTCACTCTATCTCTAAATGAGCGCCCAGCCTGCAGAGGCCGCTTGTATCCTGTGAGCTTGTCTTTTTGGTCATTACCCAAATCTCATGACCATAGGTGAGGGAATATAGATTGAGTTCTAAATTGAGAATTTTACTTTTTGATTAAGCTCAACCGTTGGTGAAGACCAACGGTCTGATACAGTGACTGCATCACTGCAGACGCTGCACCGATCCGTCTGTCAATCTCACGCTCCATTCTCCCCTCATTTGTGAACAAGACCCTGAGATACTTGAACCCCTCCACTTGAGGCAGGGACTCTCCACCCTGGTAAATTAAATCTTGTGAGGTTTAAGCCATGTTTTTACCTCCTCAGAAACATAGATATACCTAGAGTTGTGTTTTGTTTCATTCACACATGTCTGAGTAACCCTTTATTATTAGTCTTTTAGTCTGTTATTAGTGTCTACATTTACAAAGCTCAATATGCTCTGTGCCACCTTGTGATGTCATGTAGTGGTGGTTTTCAAGTTAACATCTCCTTTTACCTTTAGTTCAGCAAAGATTGGCCTTTCCAAGTCTGAAATTAGTTTTAAAAACACAATAGAGCACTTCCTGTATTACAACATGATATCACAAAGTGGAACAGAGTGTTTTCAAAGGGTTGGTGTGTTGAATCAATGAACTAAACACAACTGCGGGTGTGCTTTCGATGAGAAAACGTTTGGCTATATACTGTATCTCTAAACCAGAAAATATTACATTCATATATGTATCAATTATTGCCTACTATCATGGAGATGTAAAAAAAGGGTGTGAAATGGAAAACGTTATCATAAAAATGGAAAACTTTATCAAAAAAAATGTGTTTAATGCAAGCACAGTTTTATTTCCATTTTAGAAAGTAACCTGACATTTACAAATGAGTCAGTACAATACAGTTAGCACAGTTTATTAAGGGGCCTGCCACAGATACTGAAGGAAGGAAGTGATGCTGTTTTTATCTTGTCACCAAACTTTAACATTCAACTTTTTTTTTGACAGATTTTGGTTATAAAAAAGGAAATGGAAAACTTTATTTTTTACTTTTTGTTGTTGAAATTATCATTAGTATTTTTGACATCCTACTACACAAAATGTATTCCTGTGAGCTTTAAGTCATGTTTTCATGTTGCTACTTCATCAAAAACATGCCTGCCTTGTGTTTTATTTCATTCAGGCATGTTTGAGTGATCCTTTATTATTTGCCTGTCTAATATCTTCAAAGATCAAAATGTTCCACCTTGTGATGTCATGTAGTGGTAGTTTTAGTTAACTCTTATCTATAGTCCAGTAAAGACAAGGCAATTCCAGGACTGAAATCATCCAAATGATTCTGATGAAGGTGTATGGAGTTTAAAAACACATTGGAGCCCGTTCTGTATTGCATGACATCACAAGGTGGAACAGAGTGTTTTCTGTTTGAGAGAAGAACTCAACTTACATATGCAGGATTTGTGCATTAAACATGTGCAACACAACAACAAACCAAAACACTTGATGAGAAAACAACATTATAACAGAACATTGTAATATAGGCACTTTAAAGGTGTCTTGTTCTTGTGATTTAGGGTGCACTCATATAAACTTTAGCAACGTGCCGTCCTCAAGCATGATTGCGCAGGGTTCTGTGTTCAGCACTCACACTTGCACATCCTAACCGGGCCATGGCCTTCTGACATCATCACACAGCACTGTTTGTTTACATGTGTTAATGCTTTTAGTGGAATAGTTGTACTTTTAAAAATATCTATTAGCAGCCGAAATATCTATTAAATAGTGAGGCAGATGAGCGTCCTCTTATGAAACACACTCCTCAATGAGTTTATGGATATAAAAACAGTGTGGAGCAGTGATGACAGTCCGGAGACGAGAGGTAACGAAACTTCTTTCTTGTTGTATATGTCCTTATTGAAGGTAAGCGTGGATTCACTGTGTGTTTTGATCCCAAAAAGGCACAGATTAAGAATTACATATTCACATTAGTTTAGATTGCATAAATGTTTAGTAACCTATAGTGTATTATATTGTGTTTTGTTTACAGTATTTTACACACAATAAAAACTAGGGCAGTCTGTTTTTGTGGCCTCCATTTTACAATACCTAAAACAAACTTTTCTCAATCCTGCATAGCTATACCCGTAACTATGGGCCTTAAAGGTGCATAATGTAACTTTTCTGGTGAAGGGTTTTTGCTTTGTCTAGATTTGATTGTTCCACAGTATGGCATTAAACTTATTGATCTGTATGGAGATAAGCGTTCAACACCTGCACCTTAGAGGACCAAGTTTTTGCTATAAAACCACCTGTATTGGATTTAATGCAAAATAGATACATTTAATGCCATAATGTGGAACATCTTGGGCAAAGCCATAACATCTCCTTTGAAACAAACAGATGGCAACCCTCTTCCAGAAGGATTTATGGCCATATGAAGGAAACGGTGTATGGTTAAGGTTAGAGTTTGATAAAGTTTAGAAACAGGGTTTGGCTAAGGTACTGGTTCAAGTTATGGGAAATGTTATGGGGTTTATGTTTGGAGTTTATGGATATAAAAACAGTGTGGAGCGGTGATGACAGCCGGAGACGAGAGGCAACGAAAACTTCTTCCTTGTTGTATATGTCCTTATTGAAGGTAATCGTGGATTCACTGTGTGTTTTGGAGCAGATTTTATTCGCTGTTTTCCTCATATGAGTAAATAATGTATAATAAAGCCGTGTGTGTGCGTACATGAGCAACACTGCTGTGCTTTGGCTCATCTTCTTCAACCGGGCCAAATCCCAACCATGTCATGCCCGAGCACTGTTCGATTGCGCTCACACTGGATAAAAGCACCAAACCTTAGTGGCGATTCATGCTCTGTGCTCACACTAGGTTCTAAAGTCCTCGTGTGAGTGCACCCTTAGTTTTCTCTGTGTTGTTGTAGTTATCCTAGTGGCCTCACAGACAAAACATAACATACCATAAAAAGAAAGCTGGAGATACTGTATCTAGTCAAAGTGTACCTGATTTTTACTGTCTTAAAAATATGAAAAACAGTGGATTCCGAGCATCTTAATTATTCACCATGATGAGTTTGTGAGCACTTTTCTCTTGCAGGGGCTAGAGGGGGGTTTACCTTTGCACTAAATCTAACTACAACTAGTATGCTAACTGCACACTTCTTGACTATCGGACATTAAAGCGCTTTATAATTAGATACAGACGGACATAGCTGAGTCATTTTGAATTCAAGAGCTGATTACATGGGCTAATATGTCTGTACTGGGGCAAGACAAAGGCAAAAAAATAAATAAATAAACAGGGCCTTTAATTGAGAAATGTTATAAGGATGTATGAACCCACTGAACTGCAATTTCAGATTTGTATAAAATATATGCAAATATGATGTATGTATGCCAAAAGCTGTTTAAAATACCTACCCAACTCTTTTGAAATTATTTGCTGACTGCAGCTCCCTAATCTCTCACAGTCGCAATCACAATCTGAGCTGACATCAAACCACAAAGACAGGAAGCCAGTTTTAGTTCTAATAAAAACCTGCCCTCAATATTTTTTCTTTTCTTTAATTTAACCATGAGCTCCAGCAGAGACAACAAGCAGCACTTTGCTCTATACTTTTTGGGATCTATAACACCCATTGGTTTCTTTTTAAACGCTTTTGCACTTTGGGTTTTTTTTCGTCGCCACAACCTCCGATCTCCAAATGTGATTTTTATGGTCAATCTTGCTGTTTCGGACCTGGTCCTTGTCTGCTCTCTTGCTTTGAGAGTGCATTATTATGCCACATCTTCTTGGCTTTTGGGGTGCCAAATGTCCAAATGTCTCTTCTCGGTCAACTTCTACTCCAGTTCAGTCTTCATCACCTTCATAAGTGTGGACAGACTCTTGGCCATTGTCTACCCTCTAAGATCACGACATCTACGGACTGCCTGCAATGCTACTAAAGCTGCTGTGACTGTTTGGCTGTTTGTGATAATCCTAACTGTCCCTCAACATATAATATTGGAAACATATAAGAAACAACAGAATCAGTCTATTTGTTTCAAGAGTCTTAATCATACAAATCACACTCAGCTGGAAGTAGAAACGTTTTATGGGAGTTTTAAATTTACTCTTGTGCTAATTCTTCTAATAATCAACATTGTATCCACCTTTTTGGTCTCTTTGACTCTCCATAGAAATAGGAATGTCTTGGCCGAGATCAATAACAAAGTCAATGTGATGCTTCTGTTCATAATGAGTCTGGTAATGTTCATTGTGTGTTTTGTGCCTGGAGCCATCAGGTTTTTTTTTTCGTCAAAACGCCTTCATATGAAATGTTTTGCAGCGGTAAACTGCTGTCTTGATCCAGTGCTTTATTACTTCTCTTTAGATTCTTTCTGGAAGAAGAAACACGAAAGGAACGAAATGAGACCAAGCAATGTTATTTAGAGATAACTCTGGATTTCAGCATCTGAAAATGACTGTGTGCCCAACACAGTTCTGTACAAAAAAGTAAGATTTTTGAGAAAAGTTAAATTTCTTCCAAATTTAGATTGACTTTTACATGTGACATTGGTCTGTCTTTTTTATCTGTTGTCCGTACCTCAAGCTTTGTAAAAATGTGCTGCTCCCCTCAACATCAAGATGTGTTAAGTTGTTATAAAACCTTTTTAGCTGTTGCATGACATAAAAATATTAAAAATATTTGCATGAGTGCCAAACCACTGGTTCTGTCTTATTTTAAACATTTTAGAAATAACTTTTAAAAATCTGTGGAAATATACAACATATTTAGATTATTATTTAGATTATTTATTTATTTACTAATTAGATGTATGTATTTATTTATTTTCAGGAGAATTTACAGTTACATTATGCATAAAAGCAGAGATGCAGATTAACAGCTAATTTTCATCAGTAGCTCTTGGGGGGAGGTACTATACACAGTGCAGATAAGGATCTCCTACATCCCCAAAACACATGCTTCAGCACTATTGCAGGTTTGATTTGAAACCATGGCAGATCCTGTAATTCTGTTAATTGCCTCTCTGTTGGGTGCTGGATCCACAGAGCTAATCTTGAGCAGATGGAGCAGACTGGTGTAAGCCTACAGCAGACTGTTAAAGGCTCTATGACCTCACACACAGACTGAGACTGATCCCCCAGTAAACAGGGAACTGGCACAGGAAACATGCACACACACTGGTGTACAGACACTCTGCACTGTCTATGCTCCAGCAAATGACACAAATCAGCCATAACATTATGACCACTGACATGAAGAAAACCATCTGCAAAAAAAAAAACGTATCTTGTTAGTATGTACACTTCATGTATGCTTCAATTCAAAACACAATATTATATTTTCATGAATGGCCTAAAGTTCTAGGTCTATGTTTTCATAGTATCTCCAGTGTCTTCCCTAGGACTTCCTACTGGTAGAACATAAACACTTCCCCAGGGAGGTGTCCAGGAGCCAGCCGGAGCAGATACCCAAACCACCTCAGCTGACTCCTTTCCGCGCAGAGGAGCAGCAGCTCTACTCCGAGCTCCTCTTCCTTTCAGTAAATACCTAAAGCTCATGACCATAAGTAAAGTTAAAACATAGACTGACTGAAAAAATCATGGCTTTGCCTTTCAACTCGGCTCCTTCTTCACCACCACAACAGTTTGGTACGGCGACAGCATCACTATACGCCTCAGATCCTCCTGTCAATCACACACAGCAAGTAATACATATTTTATTAGGCCAGCATTCAGTAACAATTTGTGTGTATTTTATGTATTTATTTTTGAAGCAGGGATATTTGACATGTATTGTGAGGGCTGCAGCTGGGTCAGAGTCTCTTTGTCATAATGTTTGGCTTGATTGATGTAATGGGACAATCTGTTTAAGTGTTTTTAGGGGAGGGCTCTGCAGTACAAGGATAATGACACTGTAAGTGGGACAGAGTCATATAAGTGACGTGATGCAATGACTGGGGACAGCAATTAACAACACCTCTGATCCCAAAAAGGCACAGATTAAGAATTACATATTCACATTAGTTTAGATTGCATAAGTGTTTAGTAACCTGTAGTGTATTATATTGTGTTTTGTTTACAGTATTTCATACACAATAAAAACTTGGGCAGTCTGTTTTTGTGGCCTCCATTTTACAATACCTAAAACAAACTTTTCTCAATCCTGCATAGCTATACCCGTAACTATGGGCCTTAAAGGTGCATAATGTAACTTTTTCTGGTGAAGGGTTTTTGCTTTGTCTAGATTTGATTGTTCCACAGTATGGCATTAAACTTATTGATCTGTATGGAGATAAGCATTCAACACCTGCACCTTAGAGTTTTTGCTATAAAACCACCTGTATTGGATTTAATGCAAAATAGATACATTTAATGCCATAATGTGGAACATTTTGGGCAAAGCCATAACATCTCCTTTGAAACAAACAGATGGCAACCCTCTTCCAGAAGGATTTATGGCCATATGAAGGAAAATGTGTATGGTTAAGGTTAGAGTTTGATAAAGTTTAGAAACAGGATTTGGCTAAGGTACTGGTTACATTTATGGGAAATGTTATGGGGTAGCACCATAAAATAAAACATAAAAACAATCTTTGGGGAGGCTGGCTTAACCTCTTAAGCCCCAAGGCCTTTTTCCTGAAATTTCCCATGTCTGATATTTTAAGGTATTAAACTGCAAATACATGGGCTACCTGGCCAAACAAGGTGTCATATAAAAGGTAAGATCATGTAGATTACTGTGGTCAGATGAGAAGAAGGCAAAGGTAAGACAGAAAAAATCACTTTGGCTTGATTTGACTGCTACTTTTTTCTGTGTTTCTGGGCTGCTTGCTTAGTGATAGTTTGAGCTAGACGCCAGTGGTTGGTACCGTTGTATTTACCACAAAGGCAGCTTTCTGTAGGTATATGGGTTGTTTGGATTTTTTGGAGTCTCGAGTTTGTTTTGAGGCAGAAGTTGTAAGATTGTCAGACAGTAGTTTTTTGATACATGATGATATAGAGGGCTGCTGTTTGAGATGTGAAGTGCTGTGGTGAAAATGAAGTGGATACATTGTTAGCCGTGCTTGTGCTGATTCCAACAGCGTATAACATGATAGCATAGCACTCAGTATGTTGAATCTACACATGTACGAAATTTAAAAACAAGGACTTGCCCCCAAAAATGGGGGCTGTGGTCAATGTAGGAGGCAGACCACAACAACAACAAAATAGTGTGTCTTTGACCAGATCAAATTTATTTAAAACACACTTCTGGTAAAGAATCAAATAATAAATAATAGAGCAACAACAACCTGCACCCATCTGCACAGAAGTCTCTCTCAAATAGCCATTTGCTTTTATGCCCCACCCAGCAGGAAGTACCTCCCCCACGTGGGTATCAGTTCCATGTAACTCTTCAAAGCAAAGCTATAATTTTTTTTTTCATGAGTCTAAGTCCCTTTGTAAAATCTAAATGTTTAACATAAACTAAACAGTGTGTTGAAAATAAACTATAAAAATCAAATACACAAAAATAATGAAACAGAACTTAAACCAGTTCTCCCCTCCACATGGTCCATCTCACACCCTCCTTCCAAGGTTTGAAAAATGGCCAACATGAGGCACGCGCCCTCTTTTGTCTGAACCATGTGGAGCTGCAGGTGCATATGGTGATGGATGTAAATGAAATGAATCAACAAATAAAATATATTTAAATGTGTTATGTAATAAATTAACAAAAACTAAGAAATATTATAACTGTGTAGTTGTATATTGATAAATTAACAATAACTGAAATTAAACTAATGTGAGTTTAAAATGGGACAAAGGCCCACTTTGTCACACTGTCAAAACTGTATTATTTTAGGTCTGTTCATAGCAACAAAAGCTAATATGTTACCATGGCAACCAGGGCTACGTGATAATGACTATTCCTTATGACACAATTATCTAGCACTAATGCACCATAAGTTATAGACCCTTTAAAATCTTATGCCGTCAAAATGTGCAAAATTTCAGAATCAAGGGAAGTGGAGCCAAAATGAAGCTTAAATGAATTTTCAATGATTAACTGAGGAACAGATCTAAATGTGGATGGTTTTATGACATATAACAAAAAATAAAAAACAGTCCTGAATTTCCATGTGCAAATATTAGTTAATTGGCTTATTTGTTGAAGATGGCAACAGTACAATTTGCTAACATCAAAACTGTAATTGAAATTCAGAGAAAGTATAATTTATTGTGAAATATCTACTACATCTCTAGATGAAGTGAAACTCTAGTCGGCTTAAAATTTCTGCAGGGATTTGTCCACTAAAACCTCAAAATCTGAATCTTTTCTTTGTCTTGGTGTTCCTGATAATCTCTTCTCAAATTAACTAATAACGTACTGGGCTCTGATATCACTCACGTGTATCAGAGTGATTTTCATTTGTCAGCATTTCCTTGATTTTTCATATGTTGTGGTATTGTTTGATGAATCCAGTTAATTAATCCAACAGGCTCCAAACAGTGAGAGATACAGGACTACATTCATACCATACTGCATACAGATGTACAACAACTCACCCTTATGGAACAGATAAGCCTGTGTCCTGCCAATCATTACTTTATCTTTGCACTGTTTCCTTGCAAACTCTTTTATATCATTGTTTCCCAAAGGCTGGGTCACGACCTTCAGGTGGGTTGCAAGAGATTTTTTGGGGGGGTCACCTTGTCACGATCTGCATGTAGGTCTGTACCATGTACTCCCAGACTGGAACACGCTACAAAAACACAGACAGGCCCACCTATTAGAAATGTTGAAATGTTAAGACATGTTTTGTGTCATATCTAATATTTTTGTACTGGTAATTATTTTATTGACTATTTTGTTCCAATATTGCTGGTTCAGTTGAATGAAAAGAAAAAGAAATGGGCTGCATTTAATGTCCAAATAGGCGACTTATGGATCCTTTTATTGCTGCTGTTTTTCATTGTTTAAAACTTGAGTAATACTAATTGTTCAGAGACACGATCACTCAGTCAACAATAAAATATCTTCATTAATGTTCAGTAATGCTCAAATCCACCTTTATTTTGTGATTTACGATTAATGTCTATTGACTTGGGTCAGGAAGGTTTGTGACTTTTAAAATACAGATCCCCATATGGGAAACACTGTTTTATATAAGTGTGTATGCTGTATTTATATTACAATATTTGTTTCTTTATTTTATTTGTACATGTGTGAGGTGAGTAACTCTGTCCAAGTTATTTCTCTTGTGGATCATTAGTCTAAGTGTTTTCATTGAAATTGCATTATTTTCCAAGTCACTTTCTCCATTCCATTTCAGAATTTATAAAGTTTTTGTTTACATATTTTAAAGCAGGGGTGTCAAACTCATTTTGGTCCGGGGGTCGTATCCAACCTATTTTACCTATTTTAGAAAACTCATGGCATATAAACCCCAAAAATGGCAATAAGTTTTAATATTTGTGCAGAGAAACACAAATCTATTACAGAAATCTTTTTTAATTGATGAACTTTTTCTTTTACAAAATATTATAATATTATGAAGAACCTGAAACTTTAAGAAAAATGCAATTTCAACACAATGTTTTAACATGAACTTGTATGCAAATAGGAATAAGTCAATTTTTCTTGGAAAATCCTGCACTCGACGTCCACTTTTTTATTTTTGACATTTTGCTGATGAGGGTGTCACAGTCAACAGTCAAAACGATCGTCCTTTAACAGCGTTTGGAAAGAGACAAGTCTTCATTTGTGCTGCTCTGGTGGGAGGGGCCATGTACAGAGACGCTGGAGATGTTGCGATGCTAAGCAGCACAGAAAATTACCAATATTTTAATAGAAAATATAAATATTTTTGTAGAAAATCAGCCGAAGGCCAGATTAAAGGTCTTGGAGGGTCTCTAGTCTACCCATTGTTTAGACTTTAGAGACACTAATACACCTTATTCTTCATCATTTATACACATTTACTATATCTATGATTGGGTGTGGCACAAATGAGACATAAAAACACATCTTTATTACTACTTTATTCACAGACAATTTCCAATGGCAGACAAAATATACAGATCAGAGTTGAGTTGTAACTACCATGTTTTACAATAATTAGCCCCTCTTCAGAAGTATTGACATTAGCCCAGACGCTGGACTAAGGCTTGAGCGTCATTTTACAAAACACCCTAACATAGCTTCTTCCTCTTATGGACGAACAACATGCAAGAAATTGGGGCTTTTAAATTACAAATGCATTAAGATAACAGGTATGCATCTAAATGAAAATCTAAATCAGACTAATTTTTGTTTTTTCTTGTTTAAATTTACAAAATGTGCTTAATAATATTAGCTTAACCCTGTTTAACTCAATAAAAATGGTGTTTAAAAAAAAAAAGGAGAGAAAGCCAAGCAAAAGCATATGAAGCAAGCAAAGCAATAGGTCATCAATAGTGAATATATGAAAGCAGTGGTTCCCAAACTGTGGTGCAAGTAGGCAGGGTGGGGTCCTAGGGTGGATTTGGCTGGTAAAATGACCAAAAGTCCAATGAATTTTAAAATAACTCTTCTCATTTTGTATTTGCCACATTAGTTTCCTATTTTGCACAATTTTCCCTTGAGAAAAACCCACATTTGAGTCGTTTTGATAATTCCGGAAATCAGATAATGATCGGTATTTTGGTGTGCATGCAAACACAACCACAGTTAAATTAGAATTACAGACATATCTTTTAATATTTTTTATGAGGGGCTTGAGTCTTTAGTCTTGGTTAAGTTCTGTCCGGGTGATTTAATGGCGATTTAGTTGTTTAATCTGGATTTGTCCATTTGGATTTTCAACTGAGCTAATCAGGTAATATCAGTCCCTGCAAAGCCCTGCATGAACACAAGGATAAGCAAGATTTTTTTTCACAATTTCTGCAAATACATAGCAAATCAAATAATATTATGTAATAGTATCTTGGCTGAGTTCATTTGCGGGCAGTAGCCAGGTTCATTGTCAACAAGTCCACCAAAATCCACCAAAAATGTGTCCCTTTTACAAGTCTATTGAATATTGCTGTTTAAAGGTGCGTGACTTTTCTGGTGGAGTGTCCGCAACCTGCTTGTCTCCATGGAGATGTTATTGCTTTCCCTGGAATGTTCCGCAATGACATTAAACATATCCGTCTACCTTATATTCATTACGGGTGTTTCTGTTGCTCAAAAATACTATACAGGGTTCCCACTTTTTTTTCACTGACATAATTTCAAAACTTTTCCATGACGTTTTCATGACCTAAAGTGAATTTTCCATGACTTTACAGCACTTTACATCATACTTTTAGGGTTAAATATGAAATGTTAACCCTTTCCACTCACCTTATGGTTATTATAGTTTTTTTAACTTTCAAAATACCGTCAGTGCATTTATTGTCTCTTTTTTCGTCTCTTTTAAACAAAATGTGCATACGTTCAGAAATAATCATAATAACCTACTGATAACTTAACAGACTTTTCCAAAACTTTCACTGAATTGACCAAATCCAATGACTTTTCCAGGCCTGGAAAATGACATTTTCAATTTCCATGACTTTTCCAGGATTTCCATGACTGTGGGAACCCTGACTATAATTCTCTCTTGTGAATAGGGACGACTCTCCACAGATCTGATTTCTTATGCCGTATAGTGCTGTAACCAGCTTGTTTCCCTTGTGACAGATAATTTTAATCTATATTTCGAAACATTCTAGACCAGGGGTGGGCAAACTATGGCGCGGGCCAAATGTGGTCTTTTAATCTTATTAATCTGGCCCGGCAAACTTGAATAATAGTAATAATAATAATAATTTTCAGTGTTTTAAAAGTTATTTCAATAAATAGTAAATCCCGTGGGACTTGAAAGACAGATATTTTGTTGTAATGCTTCATGATTTATAATTATGGGATATTTCAATAAAAAATTTTTTTTTTTCTTATGAGGTGGATTACCAAAAAACCCCAACTGCTCCCAGTCCGGCTCCTCTGTCAAATTTTAGAACCCTTTGTGGCCCATGAGTCAAAAAGTTTGTCCACCCCTGTTCTAGACCAAGCAATAACATCTCCATGGAGACAAGCAAGCGGAGGACCCTCCACAAGAAATGTTACACGGCGCACCTTTAATGCCATTTGAAATCCAGCCGTACTTGTACTACGCATCAACAGTTTGAAATCCAGTGTACAATATAATGAAATACATAACATTCTTATTCAAATCTATGTAGGCTTGTTAAGCAGAGCGGCATGCCTTGCAGAGAGCGGAGTAGTAGCAGTGAGAAAAGGTAAGAAGTCTCACGAGGAATAAAAAAAATACAAAACAACACACCTTAACAACGCATGGAGTCTTCTCCTAACAACAGTAACAACTCACAAATCCCATAAGAGACATTGTTAAACCAAAACGCCTTAGACTTTGCCTTTAGACTTTGCTACATGGAAAAATCCTGTGATAGAACCTTATGTTAAGTATTGCATCACATTTGAAAATAGGCTAGTATTAACCAATGGAAATTATTATGCAAAAAAACAAAAAAAAGTTTAAATTCAAACGTTATAATATTATAGTTCAAATTACAGGTAAAGTGCAACTCAGACATGTTCCACTAGAGGGTGCTACAGTGGCTCGGGAAGTGACTGGCGATGTGCTTAAACAGCGGAGTGGTAAGTATGGGGTTTTTTTGTTTGTTTTTTTTTAATTGTTGTTGTTTGTTTTCTATGGTTCTTCGCAGATAACGGTATCCACCACAAATGTGTTCTCGAAATGGCGGATGTGGTGGCAGTCCTTGGCGTCACGCTTGTTCAGGCCTGAAAACACAAAACAGATGTTCAAGCGGTGAAAAAGTGAAATCGTTCTGAAACTCAAGCTATAAGTGTGATGATTATGTAAATGTTGATTAAAAACAGCGTCATTTGCAGGTTTTATACCAAAATACCAGTCAGACAAATTTATTTCAATAGACACTTTTTGGTATAGATCTAAGTCCATGAAGCTCCTCCATGTTTTCCATTGTAAACATTTTAGTGCTCAAATTGCCTTGATTGCGAGGGTGACCACATTTTCAATATAAAAAACTGGGACAGCCACAGTTTCCGCTTGGTTGGTAATAACAAGTGTGTAATTAAGGAAAATTGTTTTGCATTCGGTCCATTCATGACTAACATGTGAGTGAGTATAGCCACATTTTCTTTGTGATTTTGGTGATTTTTAAGCATGTTTTTCTGTAGTTTACCTAAACAAATGACACTCTATGCCCCTCCTTACTGTTGGTAGGGATCAAATTGGTCAAAAATAGGGACATCTGGGACATTTCTTGTATAAAACTGGGACAAATCACTGGTTTTGTATAAATCTGCTGGGACAGGGGACACAGGGCTGCAAACTAGGACTGTCCCGGGTAAATAGGGATGTCTGGTCACTTTACTGATTGCACAGCGTAGCAACTCTGATGATAGCTGCCATTATTTTAGCTTCATAATGTCCTCCTCAGTGTGCAAACAGATTGATTCTACTGCCATTTGCTGGTGATTCGCAGACTTTCATGGCAATCAAGGTCTTGAGATATTTTTCCAAACCTACTATTTCAGGTTATACTAGAGAAAAGTGTAAAGCTTGTGTCCAGACATGGGAGCGTATCTAAGTTCTCACAAAGTTTTCACATTTAAAGCTCTTAAGTTACACAAAATTGACTCTTGTGAGGTTTAAGTCATGTTATAATGTTGTTACCTCATCAAAAACATACCCGGAGTTATGTTTTGTTTCATTCACACATGTTTGATCGACATCTCCAAAGCTCGAAATGCTCTGTTCCACCTTGTGATGTCATGAGGTGGTAGTTTTCCAGTTAATAACTACCTTTTTCCTTTAGTTCAGTAGAGATTCCAGGGCTGAAATGATCCAAATGATTCGAGTGAAAGTGTATGGAGTTTAAAAACACAGTCGAGCACTTCCTGTATTCCCACATGACATCACAATGTGGAACAGTGTTTTCTGTTTGCGAGAAGAACACAGCTTAGTGTGCTAAACGTGTGAATGAAACAAAACACAACTCCAGGTATGTCTTTGATGAGGTAACAACATTATAATACAGATCAAAAAACAGAGTACTTTGAGCCGTTAAAAGATATTTTTGAAATGTCACTGCTTTCAGCCATTTCAATTTAGAGCTGCGGGAACACGGCGATCTGACCACGTCCAAAGTAAGAACAAGCGACAATAACGCATAAAACTCTTTGTCATTCATTATTCAATTTCCCTTCACGACGGGTAATCCCATGAAGAGCTTTATGTGAGCGACGTGGTTGTGACTCACGTGTGTGTGTGAGGCGGCGGCTCAGGCGGTACGTCTCTTTGCCGTTGCACAGGCGATAGATGAAGGGGCCCAGCTGACGCATGTTGTGCACTTTCCCCGTCACCACCATCTCCTCGTGGATGATGTAGGTCTGAGGCAGGTACGTCCCTTTCTGCATCAAAGAATAACAGGGGTATAAAAATAATCAAAATATCGTAATATCGTATCATCAAAAGTCTCAAAATAATATCATGGGCCGTCAAAATATATCGAATCCCAAGTTCCTTCGCTTAAATTCATTGTTTTGGTGCAGCAACACTTTGAAATCTTAATTATTTGGATTATAACAAGAGAAAAGTAGCATACTGACTTTTTTGCCTGAACAAAATATCGCAATTAATATCGTACCGTTAGAAGCATATCGTGAGAATATCATATTTGGATATTGTTACATCCCTAAAGAATAATAATTTTAACGTCATTTTAAACACATTTTTACACGTTTTACAGTTTGGAAATGTAAATTTAGGATAGATACCGTATTTTTTTAACTATAAGTCACACATTTTTCAAGGTTTGGGTGGTCCTGCGTCTTATACTCCGGTGCAAATTCTATGTTAAAATATTCACACTGACAGCCACTGTACTCCTGTCCCACTGTCACTTCGTACTCTACTGCGCATGTCGGCTGCAGAAGAAAGAGAAAGAGCCACTGTCCAGTCTGGTATCATGTCAGTCAATCGCACCATTACTTCTGTACCACTGACTATTTAAAATTTAAACAAACATAAAGACAACCGAAACCAGCCTGTCGGGTTTCAGAAAGGACGGAATAATTCTAAATGGAACTGATGCTGAGTCTGACGACAGCTACACAGAAGAAGAAGCGGCGCTCTGTTTACCTCTGGAGTTGTTCAGAAGTGACACTGAGGAAGAAGAATTCAATGGATTTAGTGATTTGGAGTGAGATGGAGAGTTTGGTAAACTTGTTCTGTTCTGTTGTTTATGTTATAATTATCTGAAGAACTGTTCATATGTGACATTAACAGTCTGTTGTTTTCTGTTCTATTGTTATTACTAGAACTTGCTTTTCAAATGTCTGTTCTTGGTCTCTGATTTTATAAAATAAAGTCCCCCAAACGTATAGTCCAGTGTGACTAATATGTTTTTTTCTTCTTCATTACGCATTTTTTGGTTGGTGCGAATTATACTTCGGAGCGATTTATAATCCGAAAATTATGGTAGTCTTAATCTGCCACATTTCAGTATCATGTTTTTGATTTGTTACATGTTATTTTATTTTTTTATTTTTATTTATTTTTTTAATTTAAAGATGTTCAAACAGACCAAACTCAAGACCAGTTTTTTTTTTTTTTTTCCATTTCCATCTAGATTCTTAAACAGGTGAGATCAACAGTCCTTCAGAGTCCTTGAGTTACCTTGACATTGATGAGAAGTTCCCAGAGGTTTCGAGGAGGCATCACGATGGTGGTATTGAGCTCAATCACGTAGCACTTGTCCAATGCAATGTCATGGTAGGCAGTCAGTCCCTAAAAAGAATAAAATTTTTATATAATTTGAGTAATTTTACAGTATTTTGAAGCAGCTCTGCATCTTCTGTCTAGTCTTTCCTCGACTACAAACACTGACAAATGAAATGGCCGTATTTTAATATATAGTTTTTGTATTGTTTGTAAAAATGACATTGGGCCTGTAATAAAACACAAATTTGCTTTTTGTCCAGCACTTTGAACTTACTTTGAAGTGCATTTTGGCTACTCAAATTTATTTCTTAAAAGACTTTTGGATCTTTCAGCAAATTGCTAGAACAGAGCTTAACAATTCTGCAGGACAATTCTATCTATTTTGATTAAATTATTATTAAAGATGCATGCTTCTGGTGGGAGATAAATCACCTGCTTTTATCCTTGATGTCATTGTTTTGCCTGGAATGTTCCACAGTACAGCTTTAAACGTATCTATCATGCATTTATTCAATTACTGTTTGTTTTGTTGCTCAAAAATACCTTTGTTTTACCCTGTTTTTCCTTAACTTGGGGTCGCCTCTCCTCAGACTGAACCTGTAACTTGGCCCAGTGGCATCACCTACTTGTCTCCACGGATACAATTTATAATTTTAATGCCACTGTGGAACATTCTAAGCAACGCAATAATAACAAGGATGTGTAGGACCCTACACCAAAATCGTTGCACAGTGCTTCTTTAATCGAGGATCAGATGTGGCTGTTTTTACCCTGTGGAAGTCGTGGATGATGTCAGCCGGGTCACTGCCTCCGAAATGCGGCACGGGCACGGAGATCTTTTCGTAGTTGTCGCCCAGATAGATGCCAACGTTTTCCTCGAGCTCCTGTCGGCCGCGCAGAGGGGCGTAAACTGAGTCCTCATACAGCACCCTGCAGTGGAACAGATTCTCCTCCGGGATCTGATTAGACAGAGAGAAAAACACGACTGAACGTAAACAACAGGTAAGAGTACAGGCTACAGTGGATTACGCATTTGTGGTACTGTTATTCTTGGTGGTTTTCAGATTTTAGAATGTAATCTTAATGTCACATGGAGGGCAAGAGGCAGTTTTTTGCTACTGATTACACTGTACTTTGGCATGAAATAACCAAATGTTTTTTAGTTTTTTTTTTGTTTTGTTCTGTTTTTTATCGGGATGTGTCATCATATGTTCGAAGGGCTCATTTCAGGGTTCACAAATTTGCTCCCTCATGCCCCCTTCCCAGTTTCTGCAACAGTATATGGTGTTACAGTTAGGGTTGGAAAGATATCCAAGTCTCACAATACGATATTGTCACAGTTTGAACCTCATGATACCTCAAGCATGTGTAAACATCAAAACATGACTTAAAGCTACAAGTCATTTTTGTGAAATATAGAACCTCTACAGTCTTTTTAGGTTTGTCTAGATGTTAGAGCAGTAATACATGAAAATAATCAAATGCCATGAGTTGTCCTCCTGCCTTCATCTTACATTCATCTCAAATGATCCACCTCCTGCTCTTTTGTATTTGTATTTCAGAACAAAGCAAACATCACTGTTGCAAACTAGTTTCCTGGTTTCCTGCTGTTTCACTATTGTATCCCAGTGAAAGGTGCAGCGCATAATGTCAGCTTTTATTTCTCAGGTACAGCCGGTTTTGTTCCACGAAATTGCACCATTTGTGTAATTTAGGTGGATTTGGCGGTGAACAGTTATGTTAAAATGATTCTTACATGAGGGATGAAGTAGTAGCGGTAAACATAGATGGAGGCCAGGACCAGACCAGCCATGAAAACCACCAGGCCGAAGGTCAGGCAGCACAGCCCGTTCAGAGGAGACTTTTTAGGCCGCAGAGGCAGAACCAGCTCCTCTTCCTCCTGGAGAAAAGACAATATACACAAATGTTAGGTAAAGAGTAATATGGTACTGCAGAGGATGATGTCATACAGTGTGTTTTGAAAGTGAGAAACCCTAAACAAGCATTATGCGGTAGGGCGTGGTGGGGTGATTTTGTAAATAGAAATCTAACACCCACACTATGCACTTTTGAAGAAGACGTAGTGTCCTTGTGTCTGCTATATAGTTATAATCTATGACACCCATGGCTCATTATGTTATCATTTGGATATTTAAAATCACAATATTCATCTAAAAGAACTTAACAAAAGAAGCAAGTTTGCAGAATTTCATGTTTGAAAACTGGTCACATCACACATCACAACAAAGAGCTGTGAAGTTGTCAGCACCTTTGATGGATAGCAGCATATCACACTACTGAGCAGCCTATTTTTTGTTTTTTTCCATTTGTACAAAAATGACTACAGGAAGCTGCCAAATCGTAGCCTGATTCATCAGCCGGTTTCATTTTGTAGAAACCGTCTGACCTCACAGCATTAGGATTCGTTCGCTCAATGGTAGACGGGGACTTGTTTCATTTAACCAATCATTGCTATTTGGTCGTGACGTATGTAATGTGCCGCTAACAGTTCTATCTGATATATTAAACTTTTCCCCAAATTTCTCCTTGATAAAAGTCACCAAACATTCTCTTTGTTCCAGCTTTAAACCCTCGATCTCGGGAATCGTTGCCAACACAGAATATATGGCTCTTTGCTGATTGGCTGTTGCCCAGACTTGCACTTCCAACGTTTCTGTGAACCGTCTAGTGTATTCTGACTCCTGACCTAGTCCCTGGAGAGAAATGAAACTGAGTGGAGGCACTAGGTGGTACCAGCCTGGCTAGCCAAATCCTACTCGTACCACTGATTGAGAAAATGAAATTGGTACAAAGAAGTGTGCGTATACTGGTTGAGGTGAAAACGGGGGTTGACGTCTTGAAAATAATCGATTAAAGATTGCTCAAACATGCACGAATCACTCCAAATACAACTTAAAGTGAGAAAATGGTGAGGGGAAACAAATAAACATGGTTAAAAGCTCTATAAAGTGCATAACAGGCTGTTTTAAATATTAAAAATGTTACAATTATAAAACCAAAGTCACACATAGGAATGGACAGCTCTTGGGCAATAATACACCAAAGACTTTTCAATTTTTTTGCAAGATTAATTTAATTGATCTGACAGAGCGTGACCCTGGAATCCTAGCTATTTTTTTTCTGACAAGTATTACAATTGTGAATAGACTGAGTATTTCTGTGAAAGTAGAACTGTGTTTAGAGTGCACACTGAAAAACTATAGGAGCATTAACGTTTGAGAGCCGACTGAAATGTAGTGATAAACTCATACAAGAATCCGATGAATTTCAGAACACGTTTGCAGAGGTCTAAACTACCGGTACAACAAGATGTTTCTATAAATAGATGGGATATTTTGTTCTTTGCAGAGTTCATTCTGTTCTATGAATAATTCCAGTCTTTGAGATCTGATAAAGTGCCAACTAAATTTTATTTTTTATTTGACTGTGATACATTGTGCAGGTCTACTAGTATATGCATGAACAAATGAACCAGAACACAACTCGAAGTATGTCTAAGTATGGCTAGTTTCATAGAATATGAGGTGTGAGAAACAACTAGAAAAAACACAAAAAATGTTCACAGGAAGTTTAAACGTTACACAAATCCACCCACTACTTCCTGCGTATTATTGTCCTTTAATGGACAGTCTTACATGACAGACAATTGATAATAACTGCATAACTGCACACAGATACAGCACAGAGCGTGGACGGAGGAAGAGCTGTCAGACAGTGGAAGTGAAACTACACTGAGACTATGAGTAATCTTCCCAAACGCCTCCAGTCTCTCAGCCCATCTGTGCTCTGGCAATAGCACTACACGCTCCATAGTAAACAGTAGAAATCAGCACCAATGGAGGCGCAGACAGAACAGAGTGTGCCCACTGCTTTGTACAGACACAGCTTTTGTTTAAGAAAATAATGATGTCTGCTCAGAAGATTCTTCAAAGGAGACGCTGACAGGCTTTGAACATAAACCTGCTCAGAAATGCCTCTTTGCTCCATGTACTTTGCCATATTTCAAGATGTCAACAAAAGTGTGCTTCAGAATGACTTCTTATACACCTACTGTATACTGACTATGTACTATTGCTGTGATTAAGGTACACTGTGGAACTTTATGAGTGGCCCATCCAACACCATGCATTTGCTTGGCCTGGAATGTTTCACAGTGTGGCATTATACTTACCTATCATGCATTTATTCAGTTTCAAGTTTATTGCTGAAAAAACACAAAGAGAAGCATGCATTTAGCAGATCTCCACAGATCTTACCTGTCAGTTAGCCTAGTGCCATCACGCTTTTTGTTTCCATGGAGATGGTTGGTTACATAGCCTGATTCATCAGCCAGTTTCACTTCATAGAAACCGTCTGACCTCGCAGTGTTAGAATTCATTCGCTCGACGGTAAGCGGCTGCTTTTTTTCATTTAACCAATCGCTGCTATTTGGTAGTGATGTATGCAATGCGCCTCTAACGGGGCTAACTGGTATAATAAGCATTTCCCAAATCCCATAGGAAGAAGGACAACAACATCTTTCCCCTTGATAAAATTCACCAAACATTCTCTTTGTCCCAGCTTTAAATGCTCAATCTCGGGAATCGTTGCCAACACAGAATCTATGGCTCTTCACTGATTGGCTGGTGCCTGAACTCGCACTTTTGGGATTTTTGCAAATCGTCTAGTGTATTCTGATTCCTGACCTAGTCGCTGGAGAGAAATGAGATTGAGCGGAGGCACTAGGTGGTGCCAGCCTGGCTATGGTTAGAGTGGAAGATTTCAGACAAAGCAGAGAGTAGAGCACCCTCCACCAGAGAAGTTAAGTTTTGTGCAACTTTAACAAAAACACATAATTATCCAAATTGTTGCTGTATATTATATGATGAAATGCTTGCTGCCATTGTGTCTCTGGGCAGGACACTTCATTGCCTATTATAAGAGTGGGCGGTTGGGTATCTGGCATAAAATACCAGTTATATCACGATGACTGGGTTTGTTTGGCAACTATGCTTGAATGAAACAAAAATGAAATTCAAATTCAAATTGAACTGAGATTAAATTAAACTGCATGCTGTTATAATGGAATTCAGATGATGTACTGAAAAAGTTACTCAAGTAAATGTTATAAATGTGTGACAACATAGATGCACCGGTGTGCTAGAGCGCGTGCTGCAGGTTGAGTTGTCAAAGCGCTCGTGTCTCAGCAGCGCTGTGACATTTGGAGGGCGCATAAGGACAAAACTGTGAAAGTGCGAACGCTTCTGTCAAACTCGGCTCTTTGTGTTCTCGGCCCCTCACGAGCCCCGAGCACCAGCTGAGAGCGTGACACACCACCAGTCTGTCGTGTCCATAGATACATTTAGACGACCAGGTGGGAAAAGTCTGACGGACAATCTGCCCAGAACTTTGCACAGGCCTGACAGACTCAGACTCTGCAAATGGACTTCTGCAAATATAATCTTCGCATCTGTCTGTCTCCTTTTCTCAATAGACCGTTACTCTTCCTAAATCTGATGCTGCTTCACTGTTCTGCTTTTCGAGCTGCAGAGAACTGACCCCGTGCACCAATGCTTCTACCATTTTGTACCTTTAACCAGACATCTGAATTCTCACACATCTTTACCACTTCTGCGCTTTTGTTGCAAATTAGACGCGATAATGAGGAGTAGGTACCTAATTAAGTAAGTCTAATGTAGCCTATTATTACACTCACTTGCACGAGGCTGTGAGTGGCGCACTGGCGCAGAGGGAACCGTCTCAGCAGTGACATGTTTTTGTTTGGAGCCAAATGGCGATGGATGCTGTCAAACCCCCCGCTGCTGCTGGAGCTGCGCAGGTGCAAGATGCCCTAAGACCCGCTTAGGGCGCTGCACCTGATTATATAAGTGACATTGCAGGAAATGAAGGAAATCAGACATTAAAGGCAGACAATAGTATGCACAAACCCACTCACCATCGGATGCGGGATAAGTATTTCTGTTTTGTCGCCATCGCCCTCCTTCTCCCCCTTCTGTCCCGCGACAGTCTGAAAGCTGATCTTCACCATGGCGCGGTGTCAGTGGATGCAGCCGGCGCGTGCTACTCTGGCTTTGCGCTAAATGTGCACCTTTCGGAACAAACTGCCTCTCTGCGTCGAAGCGCTACCCTCTTCTCTCCGCTGGGACGCTCCTCTGTCTGTTTTTGTCTTTCACACCGGAAGTGGGACGTTTCTTTTTCTTTTTTTCTTTTTTTTATCGGTCTTTAAAGGACCAGCCCGCTGCGCTCTGCGGGGGCGCTGTGGAGGCGCACTGGAGAGGCTTAACGGGTGCGTCTGTGCGGTATTGTGCCCAGAAAGTGCCCTTTTGTTAAGCGCAGGAGTTATCTTTAAGGGCCTGTACTACGCTATTTTTTCTGATCTGTTATGGCGTGGTTTCCTCATCAAGAACAAACCGGAGTCTCGTTTTGTTTCATTCACAAGTTTAACACACAAACCCTGCATATTTTGGGCTTACTTCTTCTTTCAAACTGAAAATTCTAAGCTCAAAAGAGTCTATTTTGTGTAATATAGAGAGAGTATTTAAACTATTGTGTGTATTCGCCTCATAAGACACTGAGATCCATGCAGTTCTTCTGAAAACGCTGCTCTTTTACGCACAGTACACTCCTTTACTGGCACCTGCTGGACACTTCTAAAACCTATTTGCATAAACAACAATTTGAACGTGTTGGGCACAGATTCCCCTGAACAAGACAGACAAAAAGAGACATATTATTCCAAATGTTTTTATTTATTTTAATTGCAGGGCCCAGGCCTTTGACACTTCTGAAAGCACCCACACACTGCTCTGTGCTGTAACTGGAGTCCAGTCCGCACCAGGCCACGTGGTCAGAGGAAATCAGTCATTTCAGTGTAATTAAATACTGGGGCAAGTTAACAATTCCAGTACAACGTTTTCAGTACAGCATCATGCACAGCCAATGGAGGAGCATGCAAGTCCAATGAAGTTATATTATATTAGGATGAATCTGACCAAATCTTCAAAGTCCCTGCGCTGAAACGTACTACAGCTGTTTGAATGTAAACCATACAAGAGTGACCGTGCAATTCACTGCAAATGAACTGTAGTAATACTTAGCTGCACTCATGCCCAGATAACTCAGCTACCCACAATGCTTAGCACTTGTAATTGTACTGGAATTATAAAACCCTTCCAAAGCTTGAATATTGAGTAGTAAAGGGAAACTAAATATGGCATGCCAAATTGCCACAGCACAGGCAACCAGCAAAATAGTGAACAAGTTTGCACCTCAAAAAGTGGCAGATGGCAAGCTTTGTTTTTAATGCTCTCCCAAATGACTCGCTTCACTGTCAAAAAGTCAAAACGGAGAAAAAAAAAAGGATAAACAGATTCAGAGCTGACATCGCATGACATTCCTTTGCTGTACAATTGTTAATATCCTATAGATTAGCTAATTGTGTGCTGGCCCTTTAAGTTATGTACAAGAAGAAACCCCACAAAAGCCAGCAACAACCCTTTCAGCAGAATATGAAAACGCAAAATGAAATGTGAATTAAAGCCACACTGTGCAACTTTTCAGGGTCCGCCGCCAGTCTGTCTCCATGGAAATGCTATTATAAAGTTCCAAAGTATTGCAGGAAACTATATCGTCGAAGACAAGCAAGAGGCAAGTTCAGGGTCGAGATCAGATCCGCGGAGAGGCGACGCCACTCACATGTTTTTCAATATTATTCAGCAATTTAAACATCCGTAACTGAATAAATACAAGAGAAGTTTAAAATCATAGTGCGGAACATGCATCGCCAAGTAACAGCGTCGTCATGGAGACAAGCATGCGGCGTATCCCTGTACCAGAAAAGTTACAATGTGCATTTTTAACATCTTTGCGCTAAGAAGGTTTGATACAATAAACCAAAAATGTGACGGTAATAATAATGTTAATGTAAAATGAATCAAAGCAAAAAAGGCATATGTACACGTTAACCCTGTCCCAAAATTACAATAAAGAAATCAAATTCTGGCAAGTTCATCCTTTGCATTTTGAGTTAAAACAGAGCAATACCCGCATTAGAGCTGCACAATATGAACACAGCAAAAAAAAAAAAAAGTGTTAAAAATTCTGATAATGAAGAAGTGGTTTCAAATAGTTCATGACCTTAAGGTTTTTTAATCAAATAGTCGCAATAAAAGCATGTCATTTGGAGCCGTTTTGTTCAGTTCTGATGGAATTCATTGGATTTTAGATGTTAATGTTAGACTAAAAGCATGTCCTCTTGATACAATAAACAAAACAAAACTGGAAAATCATGATTGTGAGAAAAAATTTGTTTCTTTTTGCTTTATATCCCAGCCCTAATTTAGTCATTTTAATTCCAGTGAAATTCTGTTTTAGATTTCCATTGTTTAGACCTTTTTGTATGTTTGGTCTTGATTTTGACATAAGTTTGTATTTTCTTTCTGAACTGAGCTGATTTCGCTCTTACAAACCCGTTATTCAGTCCTGGTGAAATCATGGTTTTATTTTGGATTTTAACTCACACACACGCCACACAACAAAATTAGATTCTAAACCAGGACTAGAAATGACCCAAACCAAACCCAAACCGGATCAAACTGGGCTCAAACCTATATACTCATAATACTAACTTAAATTCGCCATATCGAAAAGAGATTCCCCAAACACCCCCGATGCTTTTTGCAACCTTCGACGCAATTGCTGGTCTGAATTTGCTTAGTTTCTCATAATGTGCAGCTCTACCCTTCATGACCTGATTTGATTGACGTCTCTGATGCTTCTTAAGAGCCCTTTCCCATAAATCATTTAGACCAAACCACAGATGCTGAACAAGGATGAAGGCTTTGATGCACTGTAGTGGTAGGGCGGTAGGTGGTGCGCATGCGTTTCATTACTGGAGACTGGAGACCTGATGGAGCTTTGGCCATTAGAGACCACAATACATCTAATTATATAGTTCCTGATACCACGGTTTACTCATTCATTTGTGTTGTTGTTGTTAAAAAGCATGTGCATTTAGTACTGTGTTAAGACTTGATAGCTTTCTTACAGCATATTTTGCAAAAAGTCTATGAATAAACACATTTTTAAGGACTAATTTGGTTGCCTTGTGTAATTTTGTATTGTTTTTTTTTTTCTTTATAATGTTCTTTGTAATGCCTGGATCACATGTGTTCAAAATCTTTACTATTTTGTAATGCTGACCAAAATTTGTAACTTAAAATGTTTAGTTTTAAAGATTGTACCCATTATACCATTTTAAAATGTCATTCCTGGTCAAGGTTTACTATTTTGTCGTATTCTTTCTAAAGCAATTCCAATCTCGATTATCTAATTATCAGTGAAATTTGGTAAATTTTTATACATTTTACTGTTGTATTTATTCATAGTCTCTTTGAAAATACAAGACTTTGACACAGTACGGATTATTGTGTGTTTGATTTAAAATGTTTCTACCATTTTAATGAGCAAACTCTGGCATTAATTTATACGTTTTGTGAACTGGCTAGTACACGTTACATGTTTCAAGTGTGCAAGAAAGCAGCAGCATCTATATTTAAAGGAAAACAGTTGCAAAATGTTAAAATAACGATCCAGATTGGAGCGGAGGAGCTGGCGGTTTCCAATAGGTTGATTTGGGGATATTTGACGTTAGTTTTTGTTGGGAGTAAGTCTTATCCAAAGCCAGACCAGCCACTGCATTAGGGTCCATATGCAGCCCTGGTCCCAGGCTCTCCCTGGTCTCCCTTGGGTCCAGTTTTAGGTCTCCTGGGGTGGAGGCCTTTTGAGGTCCCGGATCTGTTTGATCAGGTAAGTTTTTTCGTCGTTGAATTGCTCGTCTTCCGTTCGGTCGTTTTGAAATTTGGAGAGAAACTCGATCAGTTTCGTCTGGTTCTTCAGCAGGATGTCCAGGATGGGCTGCGTCTTGTTTGGGTTGGCAACAAACACCTGAAACGGAAAATATAGAGAAACATGATCCATTTTGTTTCCTGTTATGCCGTATTATTGACCCCAAAACTGTTTAGAGAAAGTCTTGTTTTTTATTTTTGTTTCAGCAGATGTGTACAGTAGACCTAGATAGTTGCGTACAGTGACATAGTTCTATTTCCTGACTCAGTGCACTTTTAAAAATAGTTATGTACTTAATTTATGTAATGTGTGTTTTAATGTAATATTTATTTGTTTTATATATTTGTTTTTTTATTGATTGTATAAGAGATTAGTGTTGGTGTAACTTTTCTAGTGGAGGGTCCTTTAAAATGCTTTTCTCCATAGAGATGTTACTTTTTTTGTCTGGAATGTTTCACAGTATGATATTAAACCTTTCTATCATCATGGAGTCCAAACTACACCAGGTTACAGGTCAGATTTGTAATTTAATAAATGTAAAGTAGAACTGTTTAATGTCATACTGTGGAACATTCCAGACAGAGCAAAGACATATCCATAGAAACAAGCAGGCGATGGAGTTACAGGCCCCGTCCACACTAGTATGTATTTGAGTTGTTTTTGTTGTGGATGCAGTGTTCGTCCACACTTATTTGATTGAAAACAGCTCCAGAGATGGAACGATCTGGTGCCGCCAGCTTCCACGAATTCATCTGAGTATGGATCTGATCTGGCTCTGTGTGGACGCCTGAAAACGTCCACGTATATGCTGATATGCTGACGTAGGTCTACGCGTCACGAAGTAATTCACGGCCAAAACGCTAAGAGGCTAGAATATATGTCCATTCATACATACGGTCTGTGTGTACGACCTGCAGATGTATAATCTCTGAAAACTTTAACATGAACCATCTCCATGCGATAGAAGCACAGAACAGACTCAGCATTAGCAGAGCACCCCTCTGTCACAGAAAGAACACATATAATTCACTGAGTCGTGTCCTTTAGTCTGACAGAAGCTGAACCACTTCAGCGCAGAATACTGAGCTGTTTTATGAGCGCTTAGTTTGTACAAATTAGCCATGTGGTTTTAAGTTTTGCTTCTGTAAATCAAACAAATATGCTCAAAGCTGTGGGGATAGGGAAGACTTGCAGACACAGAAAGAACATGTCTATACGCAGATCATTTCCTCTACGGTGATACGTGGATTCATATCAGTGTAAATGTAGTTGCAGAGTGCATCTTTAAAAATGCTTAATGCCATTTTTTTTTCCTTTTTTAAAACAAGACAAAAAGACAAACTAATCCTGTAACTAATAAAACAAATAATAAATTGTTGATCTGGTCTGCTTATAAATGAATTAATATGAAGAAAGAAAATATGATTTATAAGAGCTATTACTGCATTTCTACAATATTTCTAACCAAGAACTAACCCAAATCAGGACATAACTGTGTATATAACTGACTCTGAATTAAGCAGATATTACAACTGCAGAAGAGCCAGACAGACATCCACACAGTTTGAGAAACATATTTTATTATTATTGCTTTATTAATGCCTTTTCATTTTTCTTTTAATTTAAGTATTTTTCTTTTGTCTTTAAATGTTTTACTGGGAAATAATCCACTTGAGTTTTGCATGAAATCAGATTGAACCATCATCTGAAATCTGTTACATTTGGCAAATTATGCAGTCCTACTGTTAAGATAATTCCAACAATATATTTGTTTTACTTTTTGAAAAGACACCCTAATCCTGCTACTATTTTATCTACATGAAAAGCACTCAGTTTATTTTATTCTTAGTTTGTCTGGGATCATGTACAAGTGCATTAATCCTACGAAAGACTATATTAATTTCACCAGATTTATCAACTGCTACGTTCCATCTGCAGACTTCATATCAATCTCTCCTCATGTTTGTGATTTAAAGAGCCCGTATTATACTATTTTCTGATCTGTTATAATGTTATTTCCTCATCACAAACATACCTGGAAATGTGTTTTGTTTTATTCTCACATATTTAACACACAAAGCCTGTATTGTGTCCATTGTTTTTTTAAACTCCATTCACCTTCACTAGAATCATTTGGATAATTTCAGTCCTGGAATTGCCAATCTCAACTGAACAAAAGGTAAAATGTCGCTCTTAACTTGATAACTACTGATTCATGACATCACAATGTGGAACAGATCATTTAGAGCAGGAGTCTCCAACCTGTAGCTCCTGTAGCGCTTAATAACTAAAATCTGATTAATAATTACCATTGTAAATGTGTCATTTTGATGCCTGACTTGTGCTCTAATGAATGGGTAATGGTTTATGTTTAACAGGCATCTAAATGTACCCTGTCTAAAGCTCGCCATAGCTCTTCTACTTTCTTTGTGGCATTTCGTTTTATAAAGGTTGCTCACCAGAGGAAAACGGTTGGAGACGTAGACACTAACTAATAACGGATTACTGAAATATGTGTAAATGAAACTAAAACAAAACCTCCAGGTATGCTTTTGATGATGCAACAACATTCTAACTTGGCTTACAGCTTCAAGAGTTGATTTAGCGTAATATAGGACCTTTACTATATAAAAACTTTTTAGTAAGTGACTGCATTAAATATGTAAATATGTAGAAATTGTGCAGGGTGCACGGGTTGTACCTTAAAAACGTGGAAAGCCTCGAACTGTATGTTGCGGCTCTTGTCTCGGAGCAGGTTCATCATGAGTTTGAGGTTGTCCGATTTACTGATGTACTTCGTCATTATCGTGAAGTTGTGTCGGTCGAGAAGCAGCTCTCCCAGTAACTGAAGACAAGAAGAAATATTACATCATATCGATTGTGTTCACAGCTCATTTTTCAAAGCATGAAGCAGCAGTAGTGTTTGAGAGTAGATAAAAGGAAAAAAGGAGGTCAGATTAGGGGACACAGAGTACACAGAGGGCAAAACAAGCAGACTACTGTGATAAGATATAATAGGATACATAACATACTAGGAGACATACATGGACGGAAATTAGGGATGGATTATATAGCAGTTTCCGTATCAGTATTTTGTATCTTTTTTTTTTTTTTTTCCCTATTCAAGTGTAGCCAGGCTGGCGCCACCTAGTGCCTCCGCTCAATTTAATTTCTCTCCAACGACTAGGTCAGGAATTAAAATACACTAGACGGTTTGCAAAAACCCTGGAAGTGCAAGTTTGGGCACCAGCCAATCAACAAAGAGCCATATACTCAGTGCTGTCAACGATTCCCAAGAGGATTTAAAGCCACAACAAAGAGAATGTTTGGTGAATTTTATCAAGGGGAAAAATGTTATTGCCCTACTTCCAACGGAATCTGGGAAAAGCTTAATATATCAGTTAGCCCCATTAGCGGCACATTACATACGTCACGACCAAATAGCAGTGATTGGTTAAATGATAAAAAGTACCTGCCTACCGTCGAGTGAACAAATTCTAACACTGTGAGGTCAGACGGTTTCTACGAAGTGAAACCGGCTGATAAATCAGGCTAATTCAAGTGTCCTTTTTGCACAAACTAATGAGTCAAAATCTATAGAGGAGAAAATATGTAACCAATTATTTTATACCCAGATAAATACAATTTGTTATCATTTTTTACAAAAGTGAAAAGTTAATTAGTGATCTTTGCTTCAACTTAAGATATATTTGTGGGTGTCGCTATGGATTTTAAAACATAAATATGAGTTATCAGCCCCAGCAGCAGACCAAATATTGAATACCAGAAGTGTCTCAAAAGCTTCTTGGTTATTTACGTAATCTGTGGCATGATAGACATATAAGATCAGTGAACAAAATGATCACTTCATGGACTTAAAGCTGTAAGAACTGCAGCATTTTCCACAAATCCTGTATAATCAAATGACTTCTGTGAAGTCAACTGAATTGAAAGTGGCTTTTTAATGCAGTGGTATATCTTAATACTGGCGCCATATCTGTTCTAAGGACATTGTATAACTTGGTAATTGCAACACTTCAAATAGCAATTTCCAGTGTGATATATTGCACAGCCTACTTAATGCACCATAATTATCCAGTTGTCTTTCCCCACGCTGTAGCTGTAGCTGTAGCTGTAGCTGGGAGTCATGTGCGTTAGTCCAATTCGCCTTTTCTTCTCTAATGACCACATGAGTCATCTGTGAAATACTTGCTCCGGCCACTAGAGGGCAGTCATGACGTGGTGATGGGGGTTTAGGTGTAACCCAAGCCTCAGCCGTGACCATCTTTAAATAGCTTTTTGAACGAGTTGCACCACTGCACGACCTCTGCTCCTTACCTTCAGAGACTGCCTTTTAGTCACGTAGTTTTCAGAGTGGAGCAACTTCTCGTATTCACTGAAAAACTGGACAAAACGAGAAAATACAAGTGAGACAAGGGAGGAAAGAATCATAATTCCATAAATTATAATTATGGATGTCACGATTAATAGACAATATAACATCATTTGGATTTTAAACTTTTTTTAAAATATACAGTTCTGGATTTAAGAGCTTTCAATATTCAAATTGATAAATGTCTATGAAATGTTTTCTTATGTCACAGAGCTAGAAAAATGTAAAGATTAAGATTAATTGAAGGGTTCCTCATATAGAAGTTGCAAGCACAGACTGTACATATAAATGGACATAGCTAACCCACTAAGCGGCACGTTCCGAATAGAAAGTATTCATGGGGGCACTTCTGGCTCCATCGACTCCAATTGACTTAACTTTGAAAAATTGTCATCCCTCTCTGTAACTGCAGCAGTGAGCCATGAGTCACTTTGATCTTAAAGTGTTCCTATTAACCCACTCTATATAACCCCGGTGTTTTTTATTTTGCTATTTGGTCCATAAATAAATTGTTATTCCTAATATGACTTGGCTCCAAATTCGCTCCCATGACTGCTAGCCTCGTGAGCTTCATCTGACTGGAGCCGAACGCTGTAGGTGACGTCACACTCTCTTAGTCCACTTTTTTATACTGTACAGTCTATGATTACAACGGGGCTACAAGATGATTTCAAGGTATAGTTTACAAAGAAATACTCTCTATATATATTTTTTGTTTTAAGATTTGTGAAGTCGGCCATAAGAACAAATTAAACCTAAAATAAATATTATGAACAATGAAAAATAAAATACTATGCCATCCATTTCACTAGGCTGCAACAAGTTCATTGAATAATCATAACTAATCAATGATTGAAACCAGCTATTTTTGTCCTCAGATAATTAACTGGTCTATACACAGAGTCTAAAGCATGTCATGACCTGAGAGAAGAGGTTTTATGACTCAGAAGTATCAGGAATAGCATACAAATTACACAGGAAATTAGTTCATCACTATCACAAACACTATTCACCCATTTTGTCAACAGTTTGTCAGTAATACCAAATATAATGTTACACAATTTACTATAGAAATATTACACACAACTGACCTGAGAGCTTTAAGTCATGTTATAATGCTGCTACTTCCGCAAAAACATCCCTGGAGTTGTGTTTCTTCATTCTGCCATGTTTGTGTAATCCTTTATTAGTCTACCTACATCTCCAAAGCTCAAAATGCTCTGTTCCACCTTATGATGTCATGATAGTTAAACATGTATGAATGAATGAAACAAAACACAACTCCAGGTATGTTCGTGATGAGGAAACATTAGAACATAGCTCGGAAAATAGCGTAATATTGGCCCTTTAACATTTGACATTATGACTTCTGTAGTGGTTTCTCAATTGTATCCGTGGCTGTATTGAGACGGAGAATGGGAACAGACTGACAGTTACTTTGTGCTCACAGACGGCAGAACCAGCGCCTGATTACATGATGTTACGAAAGAGGCAGAGCTCGCCAAACAAGCAAACCCACACACTTTATTGTATTAGGAGCCAATACAAATGTCTGAATAATAAGTACATGAGGGATTTTGAGGCTCTGCATTTTAATTAATGTGATTAGATGTAATATTATAAACATAGACCTAATACGCAGCCTATATAGTAATTAATTCTCAATGTACTTGTTGTTGGTTCACTACAGTTTCTAATTTGGAAAAAAACCTCTGACTTCTTTTATTGATACTTGATACTGCAGATCAGGTTCACTGCACAACAAGCACCTGCCCAAAATATATTTCTATTCTAATATATACAGACTTGTAGGCTTGTCACAATAACAAATTTGAGAAACAATATAGATGATAAAAAATAATAGTCAACCTAATTTATGCCACTGATTTAAACTGAAAAAACTATTCTAAACGCGAAATATTGTTAGTCTCTGTAAATAATCATAGAAGTAATTAATTAAACCGTTCTACATCTTAAATTTTATCATGTAGCCAAAAAATAACCAGAAATGTTCCAGAAAAAGAAATACACGATAAATATTGACTCACAAAAAGTATTGTTCCATCTATCATATATTGAACGTTAAGTCAACATAGTAATTATCGTGACAGGCCAATAAACTTGTACTTTGATATTTAACAGTGATGTCCGTTTCAAAATCAGAAAGCTGATTTGAACTAAAAATGTAATACGATTTTCCACATTTCACAGAAACAATTTTGGCAGCACTATAATGCGTCGTAATGCTTGTTAGGCATTTATAAATAGAACAGTTGTACTTACTCTGTCATAATGTTGCTCCAGAAACTCTGCACTCAGTAGCTTGTGTCTCGTAAGGAGGTCCTAAACAGAATTTTACACAATTTTTAATTAGAGAATCAAATGCACAAACTTTGACTTTGATTTAACAATATGTTCGAGTAATTACGTATCTGACTGTAGTAACTGAGAAATATCTTATATGTATATTAATGGTGCAAGATATCCAAGTCTCATGATATGATATCGTCACAGTATGAACCTCACGGTACAATATTTACTGCGATATCATGGCAAAGCTCAAGATGGTGGGGAGGCTCACGATTAGGGATGTAACAATATCCAAATCTCTCGCAACGATATTTTCACGATATACATCTCACAGTATGCTTCTTTTTCCTCTTATAATGCCTTGACAAGACTTAATCCAAAGAACTAAGACTTAAAAGTGCTTACAACTGTTATTTCTTCATTAAATCATCATGGTCTATGTAGTTCCCTCTGTTTTTTAGCTATTGCTGCACCATAACTCTTAATTTAAGCAAAGAGACTTGTAAATTCGATATATTACAATGGACCACGATATTGTGAGAACTTTGACAATACGATATCACAATATTTCGGTTATTGTTACATCCCTAATGTATATGCAATGAAGCAATGGCGCCCATAGATTACAAATACGTTTTATATTAATCATTTTCTTTCATACTCTTCATGGAGTTTGAATGTCACTTATATATTTAAGCAGTATTCTTGAACAGCGTTTTTTTTTATGTTATGTATGGAGCAACAACGTGAGATTTTGTGATGTCAGTGTCTAGTCCATGTTCTTTTTAGACTATGGGAAGAATTTTAGATAATAAAAGGGCCATTCTGGTGTATTCTGTTATGAGAAACATTGACTGCAGACAGCACAGAAGCGGTGTTTACACCAAAGGGTGGTTATTGTCTGATTTCTAGTCCTTTAAGTTTATTTAAACAACACATAAACTGCAAAATCTGATGCGAGTAATCTGCTTTCTATCTGCAATTCGTCACAATGGTCACATTTTTATTTAGTGCTTTTCCACTTTTAGGGCACTCAAAATGGGTGAAGTGGGTTAACCGTCTTGACCAAGGAGACAAAGACAGCATTCATCTGTGGGAGCTGGAATCGCACCGTCAACCTGTGGGCCAGTAGATCTGACTGCTCTACCAACGATGTTTTTATGTCGAGAGTGGAATTCGAATCACCAGCCTTTGGATCAGGGTCCAGAAATCAGGAAATAATCTGATTTTGGTGTGCATACATAGCCACTGTTTATCTCATTGTACAAGATTATCTTAACCTCAAATATCATGTTTATTGCCATTTTCATAGGGAAACTAAGTGTAAAAATACGACTTTATTTCATATAAATAGTGTTTCATACCAGTAATATTTTCACATTGGCTGCACTGGTAACATAAAATGAATACTGTTGTGTTGGACTTACTTTGAACGTGGCAAAGGCGTCAGAGGCGATGTCAAACGTGGACATCTCAACGTATCTGAAGAAGTCGTAGAACTGCTCCGACCACAGAGTGATTTTAGCCAAAGGTTCGTGTCTGATGCACTCCCGTAACATAATACCACAGTTTAGGGCAATCTCTGGGGATTCGTACCTGCACACAACCATTACAAACACATGAACAAAGCAAAAATGTAGCAATCGCTTTTTCACTTAAAGGTGCACTATGTAACTTTGTAATCAGAAAAGTTACACAATGCACCTTTAAGTTCTGGCTCCTTTTAGAGGTATTTTTCACCTTTTCCTGTTATCTAACCAATATAATACATTTACTATGCATGATTTTCCCAATTTTATAGCTACGGTTTGCTTACCAAAATCTGATTATGACATTTTAAAAGGCCTAGAAATCAGATACTAATTAGTTCATTTTAGTTATCTAGTTAGTAAATGTAGTAATAATCAGATTGAGCATGTAACTGTAGCCACTCACTACTTTTACATTTGTACTGGCACTCCATTATTGCTGTGATAATGATTACAGTGGTTATGTATTATGCGATGGGGTTTTGTACAATTAAATGGACTTTACTACATCATTACACAATGCAGTGTTTAAACTGTGAATGTGATTGTGATTATGAAATTGTGCTGTTATTTATATGTCAATGCCAATTAAAAACTAAAATGAATAAATAACTAGAGTGAGCAACTGCACCACTATTTAACCAGCAATCCATCAAGTTTAGATTACACCCAGTGAGCTGCATTCACTCAGCAGCACCAATGGCTGCGGTAACATGCATTCAAAATTACTATCAGATTTTTGGAGTTATAAGACTATTAAAATGACATGTAAACAGCAAAACCAACTGATTTGTTTCTGATTATGGTCCCCCTGATTACTCACATCAGATTTTGTGGTTTGCGTGCCGTTTACATAAGCTTAAAAAGATCCATAAATCTGTTTATAACCAGATTTTGTGCTTGTGAACATGGCCATCAAGAGCAGCAATGTCACCCTCTCCCATTAGAGACAGACTGATATATTGAACCATAGCATATCATCTACCAGCCTTAAATCTCCAGCACAGGACGACATTTTGTTTTGGTCAGTCTGCTACCTAAAAAATACACACGCAACTTTATTTTAACACTTTAATACGAAGGGATAACTGCACTAAATGTGATACACAGCTCTCTTAAAGGTGGTAACAAAGGGGCTTTGTGTGAGTTTGTAGTAAATTACATAAAAATAACATCATTTGAGAAAAATAATACAATTTGGCCCTACATATTGGTGAAAAAATATCAACAGAGCTTATCGGCCATCGTCTACTCTGGATTCTAAGCAATTGGTATTGGCGTTGGCCATGAAAAAAAATGCATATCGGTCTATCTCTACTTCCCCTAACAAAGTAAATAATAATTAAATAAATTATTTAGTACGAATTGGGTTATACAACTAATACAACTAAGAGAATCACTGAGTCACAAAGTGAACACCATGAAAACCAAAAGATCATCTGCATATTTTTCACATGATTAGCTGAAAAAAACAATACAATCAACAGAATGAATCAATGAATAAAATAAGTGAAACAAGAATCACAATAACACATATATAGACTGACCCTTTGAGCAGCATGAAGAGGATGTTCTGTTGGGTGCACAGATACTCCACTGTGGGCGTCCGGGTGCCGATCTGACGCCGCAAAATGTTGTTAAAAATCTGTGCCACATCTTTCTTCCCCTGGAGAAGAGAGATAAGAAACAACACAACGATTTATGCAAAAGGTCTTGTATGCGTTTCTTTCCCATGTATGGGAGCAAAATTTGTCTTGCCCCAGTACAGATATATTGTATAAGCAGCTCTTGAGGTCATATTTTCGCTGTCTAGTGTCTGCATCTGTGTAGTGTCTGCAGAGCATGTATAGAATCAATTTTATTGATTATGGCATGTCAGCATGGTTTGGTAACCTGCCAGTCAAACTTAAATCACAAATCTTTACCTTGACTAAAAGAGGGGGTAAAATAATGGGTGTGGCCCCTAGCTCAGTTCAGCAAATTTTTGAGGAGACTGTTAGGAAGCTTGGTACTAAGGTGTCCAGTGACCCAACCCATATTCTTCACAGTCAGTTTGAGTAGATACCATCAGGCAGAAGGTACAAGGTCACAAACTGTAAACTGAACAGATTCAAACATTCTTTTGTGCCATTAGCCATTAATCTGCTAAACTCAGATAGTGTACATAAAAAATATAAGTAAAAGGCTTAGAGAATGTGCAATCAAAACTGCACATAAGTCAGGGGAAATGTGCAATCAAAACTGAATTAAAGGTCCTGTTGGTGCATCACTCATGGTCAGACTTGGTCTCATATTTATATCTGTTCTATGGTGAATGTTTGTACGTTGCTTACGTTGCTGTGTTGTCTTATCTTTGTGTTAAAGTATGTGATCCCCTGTCCCAAGACAAATTTCTCCCATGGAAGATAATAAAGGATTATTTTATCTAATTCTAAAAGGTTTAACAGTTAGATAATCAGGAAGTGTGTGTTAGCATGTTAGTTGTTTCACAGTTGAGAAAAGCACTTATAAACTCATCACCATAATTAGGATGCTCAGAATGAGGAAGAACTTTGGACCACTGCAAACTGTTTTAAAAACATTAAAACCGAAACAAGTTATTTTTAAACAGAAAAAAATCTGCAACTTGTTTAAACAGGTTAACATACACAAGTTAAAGGTGCACTATGTAACTTTTTGGTTGGGGCTCCATCACCTGCTTGTTTCTGTGGATATGTCATTGCTGTCTGGAATGTGCCACAGTATGACATTAAACAGCTCTACCTTACATTTATTCAATTACAGGTGGTTTTAAAGCTCAAAAAACAGGTGTTCTGACTGTGAACGGGGTTGCCTCTCCACCGATCTGACGTGTAACTTGGTCTGGTTTGAAATCCATGAAGATAGAAAGGTTAAATACCACACCAACATTCCAGAGTAAGCAACAACATCTCCATGAAGAAAAGCAATTAATGGACCCTGCACCAGAAAAGTTACACAATGCGAATTTAAAGGACTTTGCAATAAAATATACATATCTTGACCCTTCTGTTTTGAACATTAAACCACCGATGTTCTTTTTAGATAGTGGCAAGGACAGAGGCGTGAACACAATCCGAAAAACACTGTTGTTATCAAACACCAAAATCAACTATCACCTGACACATAGTTTGTTTTGTACTGAACCTTTGGCTATATACAGTATTTCTCAGGTTGTTGCCACGGTCATATTTCTCATGGTTCATATATTACACAATAGGTATTATAGGTTTGGCACAGATGCCCTACCTGATCTAATCCTCTCCATCTATTCAAGTCTGTAATGGAGTGTTTAAAAGTTAATGGAATATAATTAAAAGGTTCTGCTCATTTTTAGACGGTGTGAGTTAGGATTTTATCTTGCACATCAACTCACACAAAACAAGACACGGACAAGATAAAGCATAATAAGCTATTTTAACACCGGATGAACTTCCTCCAAAGCACAAGAGTACACACATTTTCTTTCTATTTTTTCACATTTCCTGTTACAATCAAAACATTTCCTGTACTCCCTTTTTATTGAACTATTCAACCACCATAACCATACATTGATTGTATTGGATACAAGTTTATAATTTATCTTTAAATCAGACATTGTTGCCTCTAAATATTTTAAAAACAGAGAGTAATACTTATATTTACCCAAGTAACTTATAATAAACATTCTGATACTTTTACGCCTACTTAAGTTACAGCCTATTTTCACTTACTTAAATAAAGGTTTTGGTCACTTATCCCACTGTGGGTAAGTCTAAAAGTGACAAAAGCTGGTGGAGGGTCCGTCAATTGCTTGTCACCGTGGAGATGTTATTGCTTTGTCTGGAATGTTCTGTGGTATGACAATAAGCACATCAATCTAGCGTTTATTCAATACGGGTGTTTCTGTTGCTCAAAAATGCAATAATTCTCTCTGAATAGGGTTGCCTCTCCATAGATCTGACCTGTAATGTAGCCTATAGTTGTCTGACGTGCCCTCAACCAGAAAATTTGAGCAGTGCCCTAAAAATTCACTGAAAATTACAAATCACACCCAAAAAGCAACTCTTACAATTACATGAGTCACAGTTTCCTCAAATACTTTACTCCTTGACCAACGGTTTATACTTCTATTAAGTAATAAAGTTTTGCATTAATATTACTTTTACTTACTTACCGTATTTTCCAGGCTATTAGGCGCTCTGGATTATAAGGTGCACTGTCATTGAATGGTCTATTTTCAAACTTTTTTCACAAATAAACAGCACCAGACTTTAAATGAAACACAATAGTTGGATGGGTCAGTGGGACTTTGTTTGGCGCGTTCATGGTGACTCTCGGCTTTGTTCAGTTGTGGTGTGTAGGGAGGGTGCTGTGTGGGACCACTGGACTGTTGGCGTGTTCACAGTGACTCAGTTGTTCAGTTGTGTCTAGAAGTGGCACCTTGCACTCGCTTTTTCGGTTTGTTCCTCCGTTCCGTTCCTCGTCGGCGTGGAGTGTGGCTGCGGGTGTTTTTTGCTGCGTGGTCGTTGTCTGCTGTTCTGCGGGTGGTGTGGCTTTGTAGTTTACTGAAGTCGTGCTGGGACACCTGAGTGGATTCGTGTATAGGGCGCTCTGGGTTGCGGGGCGCACAGTCATTTTCTGATGGGGTTGGAGGCTTAAGAGCGCGTCTAATAGCCTGGAAAATACGGTACTTACTTTTAAATGTGCATTGTGTAACTTTTTGGTTGGGGGTCCGTTACGGTCTAGTTTCTATGGATGTTATTTCTTTGACTACTTTTATTAAATTGCAGGTGGTTTTATAGCTCAAAAATGCCTAGAAAAACAGGCATTCTGACTGTGAGTGGGGTTGCCTCTCCACAGATCTGACCAGTAACTTGGTCTGGTTTGGTCTCCATGAATGCAGAAAGGTTTAATTCCATACTGGGAAATTTTCCAGACAAAGCTCCATCCAGAAAAGTATTTGACAGAGCCTCCACTAGAAAACTTACATAATGCAGCTTTAAGTACAGTAGTAGTTTTTCCCGATACTTTACTCAAGGTTTCAACAAATGTCTGGAATACTACTTTTTACTTCTACCCGAGTAGGGCTGGTATCATTAAGAAGTTGCTGATACGATACATACCTTGATACATAGGCCATGATACGATACATATTTTGATACAGTGAGCTTTCGGTCCAATATGATATATTTCAAAACAATTCGATAAGATTCAATAAAAAAAATACAGGCTAACTCATGGCTGTCTAAAAGTCTTTGTTAAACCTTGTGTAAAGTGAATATGGAACACACATTTTAATCATCAAAACAGTGAAAACGTCAAATGTGTCACATAAACAAGTTTCCTTCCTCTAAACAAGCAACAAAACTGTAGTGCTGTGACAAAATTATTTAGTCAAATATATCAAAAAATACTTTTGCCGATATATCAATACAGCAGTCCACAATATTGATACTGTATCATCACATTAAACAATACGATATATCGATATTTTGATATTTTTGCACACCCCTATATTTGAGTGGCATCCTTTTGAAGTAATAGTACTTTTACTTAAGTATCATTTTTGGCTATTCCACCCATCTACCCATTTATTTTTATTCTGTTGAATCATCCTGCCATTCATTTATAATCACAAAACAATCTCGCACATACAGTCCTCCCAGAGCTTGCTATTTTAACAATCTCACAGATAAGGCGTCAGAGGAGGAAGCTGACACAGAGCGGTGACTCACGGTTGGCTTTGAGGTGAGTCAGTCTTTGCATCTCCTCTGTCTGACATATGAACTAGAGACCAGTTTGCCCACATGACATCCACACCTCCTCCTCTCATACAAACAAACATACACACGTCTTATTCATGCATGTTCGGACAGATTGGCACTAGGTCACTGTGAATGTGACTCAAAGGGACCACTGCAGAGGCTTTGCCATTTCGCATTCACTCAAACTATGAACTGCCCGGGATGCTCAGGCCATGTACCATTTAAAAAGGCTATGCTCAGTTTAACTCATAAACAGGCCCACATACACTGTTTGTATAGGCCTATGTTTGTGTGTCACATAGAAACATAATATGAATAATATAAAGGTGAAATTGTGTCTGTGGAAGTGACATAGTCTAATAATCCTCCTATATCGGTGTTGAATGTATTGGCATTGTATAAGTATTGTTTTGTATTGTATTGTTGTGGATGTATGTATTGTTATTATGTTATCATTGTAAATCATAAAAGCCTTTTCCCTCCGACTTCTCTTTTTGAGCATTGCTGTGTCATTTGTCTTTCTTAATATTTAATTTTACGGATGTGGAGTTCATGTGGCTCCAGACTAGGGGTAAGATGAAACAGAATTTTCACAAGACAAGGCACAAGATAGGACCCACAAGAACATGACGAGACAAGATTTTGAAATAATTTACAATAATCTGATCTAGTTGACTGAATGACCGAATTATGTCTGTATGTGGAGGAGTCTTTTAGCTACAGCTGCTTAAAGATATACAACTATTCAGGGCTTGAGCGAGGTGCGTAACTCTTTCACGCCTGTGCCAAATGTAAAAACTGAGATAAAATCTTGCAAGATGGGTTTTCCCGTGTGCGCACAGTCGAGGCAATTTAATCTCATGATATATGGCACGAGATCTCGTCTTATCCCTACGGTAGAGTGTTGAAAAGTAGCTAATAGGAAATCCCACTCATTTCCACATAAACTGCCAGTATAGTCACACATTTTCTCGAGACACTGCCGTGAGAAGAGGCAAGTTAGAAAAAGTGACAAATTTGGCCGTGCAGACCTCCCAGATGCATCAAGCATAAATCAAGTTTTAAACCATGAGCTAAAATCTGGCTTTGAGAAAGATTAAATGAGATAAATGCCCATATATAATGCCATAATCTCACCTGCCAATCTTTCACCAATTGAAAAATAAATTCCCATTCAAATAAACATGTATTTCACTCACCTCAAAGTCTATGAGCTGTAGGTCTGCGATGAGGGTGCTGAGGAGACCACTGTTGTAGAGTTCTTGAGCCAGTTGAGCCACAGCTTCAGTCTGAGGCTCTTTCTCATTTGTACCGTACAGAATCTCCTTCATGGCCACAAGACTTTTGGACACATCCTCGGTCGCCTGTGATACAAAAACACACAAATAAGAGATGGAACAATAGTAAGGACGTAGGGATGTTTAGTCAGTTTATTGGCTAATGGTTTCTTTGTCGATCAAAATGTGTATTTACCTTTTTCATGCAATTTACTTGTTTTGTTTTTTACTTGTACATATACACTTATATTTATGCTTTCGTCAACCAACAACTGTGATTAAAAAAAGACAATAATCATTTGAGGTACATTTTCTAAGTATGTTTTCTTATGGGGTGCATCGCCTGCATGTCTCTGTATAGATGTTATTGCTTTGCCCGGAATGTTCTACAGTAATGCATTTAATGTATATCTTGCATTAAAGGTCCCATATTACACATAATTGACTCTTGTGGGCATTAAGATGTATCGGCAAGCTTTTACCTCCTTAAAAACATACCTGGAGTTCTGTTTTGTTTTGTTTAATTCACACACATTTCAATGACTCTTTATTGTTAGTCCACTTTGTGATGTCACGAAGTGGTAGTTTTCATGTTAACAGCTACCTTTTACATTTGTTTAGTAGAGACTGGCAATTCTGGAGCTGAAATTATCCAAGTGATTATTCCAACTGAAAGTGTGTGGAGTTTAAAAACACAATGGAGCACTTCCTGTATGATCGCATGACGTTACAAGGTAGAACAGAGTGTTTTCTGATCTGAACTCAGCCTAAATCTGCAGGGTTTGTGTGTTAAACATGTGAATGAAACAAAACACAACTCCAGGTATGGTGTGATCAGGAAACAATATTATAACAGAGATCAGAAAATAGCGTAATATGGGCCTTTAATTCAGCCACAAGTGTTTTAATCGCTAAAAAAAATACACTAAAACAACAAATCTGGCTTGTAACTTGGCCACTGTTCTTCTCCAGGGAGACAGTTCAATGCCATATTGTGCGACATTACAGTACAATGATTTCAACAATTTAAAATGTCTTTTCTATTCAAGATAAGATTCAGTTGAGATAAAATGGATGCCTTTTCTTCGAGGAATCTGTCTTCTCTCATCAAACAAACTCACCGCCCACGTCTCATACACACCTTGTGACATTTGAGCTTTTGTTAAAACATTCTTATAATAACATATGGTTCCAATGTATAAACAGCATAGAAGGCGCTGAACAAATAAAGAGCATCACGAGTTCTAATAATATGAAAGATATTTGCACCAGTTACCCTTCATGACGATATATTTTTCCAGGATTAGGTCTGAAAAAACAGGTATTTACTCTTTATATGGCTGGGTGATGTAGCATTATGAATGTTTTTATTATGTTTTAATAACTGTTTGATTGACTGTTGTTCATTCGTATCACACATTTACTCTATGCTATTATAAACGGTATTTTGATACAACATACATTCTCAATCAAGCTTCAGTTCTCACAATTTTAAAAGCATGTCAAAATTTTTTAAGAACACAATACATGCATTTGAGATTATGTTTTGAAGAGATCCCAACTACAGGGTTGGAAGGTTTACATATAATGAAGCTCAACAGTTATGCCTCCTTCAGAGCCCACTTTTTGCAAAATTCTAATAACAAGAGTTTAAAGACACTATTTCAGTCCAAATAAAACATTTTCAGTGCAAATAAAACTTAAAATTTGGCAATGATTTAATAACATTTATAGAGTTTCAGAATCAGATTTTTGGACATTACCCTAAAGCTGATAAGCCCTGACTAAGTCTTCAAACTTACTGTATATTTTTTTTGTGAAAGTCTATGGGGAAAATGCATGAGAAATTTCCAGAACCAAGTGGTGGGTGGTCACTGATGAGCTAAATAAGACCTCATAAAGACTCAGTTACCTTTAGAGGACATTACATCTCCTAGATAACTGCACCCATTGTGATTCTACCAATTAAAACAATCCTAACTTCAAATTGTATAGCGTTTTTGTTGACCTTTTCTGCCTTCTTGTCGGAGATGTCGTGCTTCTCCAGGACCGTCATGCTGTCTTTCAGGTTTTTCACAATGTCGACCGGGGACTTGTGTGACTTGCCGAAGGGGAACGGCATGGTGAAGGTGGAGCGTTACCACGACAACCGGGCAGCAGCCAGTCCACCTGCCAACACAGACCACAAGAAGAGATTAGTGATGCACATATCATTATATTAGCACAGAATCAATCAATGTTGTTTAAACAGATTAGGTGGCTTGGGTAATATGGATAATATCTCTTCACTGGGAATATCCACATGAAACAAAAAGCCAAAGCTCAAGGTCTTCAGGGCATCTTATTTTTTTCATTATAATCTCAAAACGTTATTCGACCATTATTAGAGGTGTAACAATATCCAAGTCTCAAGATACAATATCGCCACTGTATGAATCTCACGGTACGATATTTATTGCGATATCATTGAAAAACTCACGATATGGTCTCCCCACCAATCGCTCACGATTAGGGATGTAACAATATCCAAATCTCTCAGTACAATATTTTCACGATATACATCTCATAGTACAATATTTATTGCGATATTTTGTGGAGGCTAAACAGCTAAAACTGTTAATATGCTACTTTTTCCTCTTAAAATGCCTTGACAAGACTTAAGCCAAACAACTAAGACTTAAAAGTGTTTAGAACTGTTATTTCTTCTTTTCGTTTACACTGAAATGGAGCAAAGGATCATGGTCTATGTAGTTCCCTCTGTCTTTTTTTTTGCCATCGCTGCACCATAACTCTTAATTTAAGCAAAGAGACTTGTAATTCGATATATTGTGATGGTCCATGACATTATTGTGAAAACTTTGACGATACGATATCACAATATTTCAGTCATTGTTAAATCCCTAACCATTATTCAACCTCCAAAAATGCAATCATTGTCAGTTGAAAGGTGACAAGATGAATATGGCAAAAGTGTGGAGCAAATAACAAACAATAATAATATTCAACATTTGTGTATCATAAGTTGGGATATTTCTTTCGTAAATCTTACATAGAGTTATACAGTCCCCTGCTCTCCATTTGAAATTACGAAATCATGAAATTCAATCATGTGAATGCAACCTATTACTACTACGCTAACGAGTACAGCTATCCATGAGTTTCAGCATTCTGTTTTCAGCATTTTGAGGACTTTTTACCATTCATACTTAGTTTTAAATTGTGAATCGCTATGGCAACAGTCCTAATATTTTATCATTCAACACCTGAAACTCTGATCTCTGTTATGAAGTTTCCTCATTGCAAACATACCTGGAGTTGTGTTTTGTTTCATTCACACGTTTTACACAAATCTTGCCGTGTTTTTGAATTCAATACACATTCACTAGAATAATTTGGATGATTTCAACCCTGGAACTGCAAGTCTCTACTAAACAAAAGTTAAAAGGTAGCTGTTAACTTGAAAACTACTGCTTCAGGACATCACAAGGTAGAACAGCATTTTCTTTCATAAAGTATAAAAAGACATCAACAGTGTCACAACATCAACATACAAGAAATTAATGAAAAGGAGCAGAAAGAAGAGTCATCTTATGTTATCTGACCCCTTTTCCCTTTTCCAGACAATACATCAACTTAAAACATTTCAAATGACTACATTTCAGTTCAATTATTAATCAACTGCAAACAGAAATCTCCACTATTATTAACAACAACTTAGTTTTCTTTTTCATACATACACACTGCATTCAATTTGATATATTTCTTAAATGTCATCATTGTACTTGATTCTTTTATTTCTTTGTCACGACTCTTCCATGAATGAACTCCTTTCGCTCCATAACCTTGGTTCTGAAGCTGGGCTTTTTTTGAACATGTAGGTTCCTTTTAAGTTGTAGTGGCTTGTTCTTATCTCAAACAGACTTTGAATATTTACAGGTAATACATTGCACTTTGCTTTATACATGAGTTTGAGGATTCTTAAGTCAACAATATCATGCATTTTCAACACTTTAAGTTGAACAAATAATGGGTTGGATGGCTCTCTTGATGATAATTCTCAAGGCCCTTTTTTGTAAAATAAATAAAGGTTGTAGGCAAGTTTTACATGTTGACCCCTACATTTCTACACAGTCCATCAGATATGGTGCAATTATAGAGTTATACAAAGTTAATAATGCTACACTATTTAGTGAGAACTTTACTTTATGCAGAACAGCAATGGCTTTGGAAATTTTGCCTTTAGTGTAATTTCTATGAGACCTCCTCTTTAGACCCTCATCAATCATAACTCCAAAAAATTTGGTTTCATTTACTCTTTGAATCTGTATCTTTGGAGATGGAGACAGACTTATAATAAAGGGTTACACATGAAACAAAACACAACTCCAAATATGTTTTTGAGAAGGTAACAACATTATAATATGGCTTAAAGTGAACAAGAGTTAATTTTTCATAATATAAGACCTTTAACATACACTATACACAAATAATCATTAATGTCAACTGCTTCTGCTAAGGCTGACATAGATCTGGATCGGGGCCACAGAAGGCGTCAGCTAAAACATTAACAGGCCATTACAGGAGTAAAGACATGTTACACTGTGAAGTTTTACGACTCGGGGTGTAATGTGGATGAAGCAGTTTGTGCACAGGAAATCATTACAAAAATGTGGTAAGTCAAAGATATAAAACTTCTTCTGCCATTGGCCCAGTTAAATGATACAGTCTAACCTCAAGTTTACGTCAGGTAAGTACTGTATGGTGAGAGGAGTTAGCACACAAAAACTGACTTCTGACACCTCAAGGAACATATAAAAACATAAATGTAGGCCATTCTAAACCAGTTTCAGTATCGATTAGTATCTGCCATTGATATGTTTATGCTCTTGTTGCTTGACATTATTTCGTAGGTTAGTTTTAAATTAGAAGTTTTCTTTAAACAAACAAAATAAAAATGGCTTCAATATTGCTTTCACAAGGTAGATTTTCAGTCCATATAATTTAAAAAGATCTCGTCTAACTACTTCCTCCAAAGTACAATGATAAGATGATCATTGACAATTAGAAATGAATGAATCTTGATCTTGATTAAAATTGGATTAATTAATAACAGTATAAATTATGTACACAGTTGAGGTAAACATTTCTCATGTTTATTACTTTAAATTAAAGATATGCTACTTTGTGGAGGTGGCACTTCACCTGCATGACTCCATGGAAATAGAAAGTTAGGAAACAAAATATCCTCCATGGAGATACGTTTTATGAGTCTGTAAAATCATGGACGACGGGTAGAATATTGTGGTCATAGGAACAACATTTCCATGGAGATAAGCCCTGTTTAGAGGGCCCCACAAACCTTACACTTATTTGCTGACTCATAAATAAGAGTCAGATTTGTGAAGGCAGGTTTTTCTGTTTTTCAGTGCAATTAAACACAAGATGGAAAAAACATGCTTTTATTTTTGTCTGTTTTTGATAGAAAATTTGGTTAAATTTCTGAATTAGTGCTCATACTACACTAGTCATGTTTTAACACATATTAATCCAAATAGCTTCAAAAAATCCTATTTTCCAAAGTACACTTAATCTTCCTTTTAAAAAGGAAAAAGGATGAGTCATTTATATTTTAAGTGCACAGGTGGACTAAAAAACGTGTCTTGTAATTTTAACGGTAGGTACTTGAATGATGTCATAAATGTGTCAGATTTTACAAAAGGTATAAAAGATTAACAACACACCAAACACATCGAGTCCAGTCCACGTCATGTTTATTACTCAGAGAAAGCGTCACCGCGGTTACTGGAAGTCCACTGCGCCTAGAATCATGACGTCAATGTTCCTTTGATAAAGAATATAATTTAATATAAAATGGTACAACTAGGGTTCTCACGATACAAGATGTCTCTTTATAACGACTATAGACAATTTAAATTTGCATTGCGCAACATTTCTTGGGGAGCGGTCACTCGCCCTTTTGTCTCCATGGAGATGTTATTGCTTTGTCTAGAATGTTCCTAGAAAGAGATTAAATATCTATCTCAAGGGAGACAACTATATGTTACAATATAGGTCAGATCTGTGGAGAAGCAACCCTATTCAGATAGAGAATTCTTACATTTTTGAGCAACAGAAACACGAATCATGGATGATAGGATGAATATGTTTAAAGTCATACCATGGAACATTACAAACAAAGCAATGACATCTCCATGGAGACAAGCAAGTGACTGACCTTCCACCAGTTATGCCAGTATATGCTAGTTATACCAGTTAAGTTATGCCATGTACCTTTAAAAACACTAGAATACCTGAAATATGTGATATCATATTGTCAAATTTCTCACAATAATATCATGGGCCATCACAACATATCAAATTACAAGTCTCTTTGCTTAAACTAAGAGTTATGGTGCAGCAATAGCTAAAAAAGACAGAGGGAACTACATATACTATAATCCTTTGCTCCATTTCAGTGTAGACTACATGAAGAAATAACAGTTCTAAGCACTTTTAAGTCTTAGTTCTTTGGATTAAGTCTTGTCAGGGCATTTTAAGAGGAAAAAGTACCACATTAGACACAAAATATCGCAATAAATGATGTATATCTTGAAAATATTGCACAGAGAGACTTGGATATTGTAACAGTCCTAATCGAGAGCCTCCCAACCATATCATGAGCTTTCCCACGATATTGTGATAAATATTGTACCGTGAGGTTCATACCGTGACAATATCATATCGTAAGACTTCGTCGATATCGTTACACCCCTAAAAAATGCCATTGGCACCTCCTAAGGCCAAGTTACAATTCAGATCTGTGGAGAGGCAGGCCCAACCAGTAAGAATGAAGTTTTGCAATGTATTTTCTTAACAATAAAAACTGTAAACAGAATAAATGCAAGAGAGAGAATGCCATATTGCGGAATATGCCAAGCTAAGCAACTCTAAGCAAGCACGCAAACAACCAAGAATAGTTAGACAGGACTTAAAAATCACAGGGCTTCGAGTTGTCATCATAACAAAATCTTTTGAGAGTTGCGCAAGTAAAATTTCCTAACATAACATAATGGGCTATTGTCTGCATTGTGTGTGTTGCGAAAGGTCTATTCGTTTAACATGCCCATGGTTTAGTTAAACGTGTTAACCAACATGTGTGCCGAGCTAAT